ATATAATGCATACAAACACATACATCCACGTCCACACATGTACACAGGCGTCCACGCACCACCTTTCGTTTCTGTTGCAAAGCGCTCTCAGACACTGCGGACATCTTTGCGTTCATCCCTCTGGGCCGTGGGGAGGCGATGGGTGGCGTAGCAACCGTCTGTGCCAGTGGAGTGTGTCTCTGTTGTTCCTTGAGGTCCAAGACACCCTTCTCACGTAACCGTTTGCCTTGGATGCAGCAGTTGAGCATCTGCAGCTTCTGCAGCACCAATGCGCAGTTGAGATCGGGCGATGGCGCTTGCAAGTCATCGCCTGCGCGTGTGGTTGGGATCAACCATGTAGCAATCATTCATCAGTATATACGTTGTACCAATCAGTCATCAATATATACACGGTTGCTAGGCAACCATGTGTGTAGCAATCATCCATCGATAAATCTGTGGTTGCTAGGAACAAGTACTGTCACTGTGTGGGAGGGTGTGCCGTGTGTGTATCGTCATACATGTGTGCACAACCATAAACATGAGTACACACATATCATATGCGCGAGTATGATGATACCCCTGGGTACCTATAGTCTCAGCAGCACCACAGCACCGATGAAACTCAGGCGAAGCCTTCTGTGCAGCCCTCCATGCGCTCGTGTGCATATTTTGTATGTACGGGTATATGTATTGCCATGTTTTATATGTACGGGTGTATGTATTGCTTATCCGTACGCGTGTGCTAGTCTTGCAATTGTACCTACATACAGGTGCATGTGACTATCAATATGCGGGGCAGGCGCAGTAGGTAATTGCGCATCTATGGTTTCCCCGTAGCAGCAACACTACATAGTTGATATCGGGTACTTTTTAATTGGCGCGTGTTGGCACTGGCACGCGTTGGGTGTACACACACACGCGGGTAGACATGTCATGTATGTCACTCCACTGAGATAGACTACACAGTACGTCTATACAGTACAACTATAAGACTATCGGGACTACGCGTACCTATACGAGCGTGCATATACTAATACACGAGAGTTGAACTGAGCACATGCATGCGTGGGCGTCACTCGCACCATCCACTTCCCATATGATGGTTGTTTAGCATTCATATACACCCACCCACTCCATTTGGGATGAGCAGATGGTCTACAGCACTACTGCGCATACGTTTACATACATCCATGACTAGGGACACCCATGGGATAGCGTATGAAGCACTTGTGCGCACACGTTTACATACATCCATGACTAGGGACACACATGGGATAGCGTTTGAAGAACTTGTGCGCACATGTTTACATACATCCATGAATAAGGACACCCATGTGAAAGCGTATGAAGCACTTCGCGCACACGTTTACAGACATCTATGACTAGGTGCACCAATATACATACGGTGGTAGAAGCACGTATGAAGCATGTACGCAGAAAACATTTACAAGTATCCCTTCTAGCTACATTGATGGGTGCCTCGATGACACGCGTCGCATACGTGGTGCGTTGCGGCTTGCCATAAAATACGCACGACATAGTCATACTGGCACCTTGACATCTCCACGACCACCCAACCCACACACACATACAC